TCATGTTCTTTCATGTTTTTCATCATAAATTTATCTTGAAAACAGTTCGAGTTAGAGCTTTTGATGGGCGGTTTAAAAAATATGCTTTCGAAACGTCAAATTTCCCCGAGTTGTAAAAATTAGGGGCAAAATAACCTCACGTGATCCTAAAATCTCCACCACTGTTATATGAATAAAAATTGAATTTGCGGTCAAAAGTAGCTAACACTAATGGTAATACGTGTGCAAAATTTGGGTTATGTATCTAAAACGGTTCCTGAGAAAAAACTGATTTTTTTTTTATTTTGAAGCCATGTACAATTAATTACACAGCCACATAAAAAAAAAGTTGTCTGTACTTTTCATGCGACATATGTTATTCGTAGTATTTTTGCCCCCTAATCACGAATCCGGTGTCAGAATTGAGCTGTCACATCACAGGAATTTCCTAACCTCAAAAAATAAGTCAAAAATAGCAAAAATTCACAAAAAGTGCTAGGAAAAACACAAAAAATATTTTTTTCTATATTCAAATGTTCATTTATATCGCTAAGACCCCGCTGAACGTGAATCCGCGGTCAGAATTGATTTGAGTCTTTTTCTAACCTTAAAAAAACGGGTCAATTAAGTCAGATATTACGAATTTTCAAAAAATAAGATTCACGCCAAATTTGGTATACGCGGGTTTTCGGGGTCGCTGATCACAGATCCGAGGTCAATTTTGCAAAATTCAATATGGCGGATCCAAGATGGCCGACTAATTTTCAAAAAATAACATATTCGCGCCAAATTTGGTATACGGGGGTTTTCGGGGTCACTGATCACGAATCCGAGATCAGATTTACAAATTTCTTATTTTCTTGGCACTTTTTTTTGCTATTTTTGACCTGTTTTCTAAGGTTAGGAAATTCCTGATGATGTGATAGCTCAATTCTGACATCGGATTCTTGACCATCAGGAGGCAAAAATACAACGGACATATACAACATATGTCGCATAAAAAGTACAATTTCTTTTTGTGTTGCTAAATATATGGCATAACAAACGAGAAAAAAAATTGTAAATGCTCCTACGTCCACTATTATTTGTTAAAAGTACTAAAATAATTTTTCTACAAATTCCCAAAGCAGTGCAATTCACCTGACACCGTCTCGTATTCATAATTTAATTCTGTTAAAATCCGCGGCCTCCCTAATTGTTGCTGCATGCTGTAAGTTTCAAAGTTTCAAAATGTGTTTAGGTTTTGAAATTTTATAGCGGTAGGTCGGTGATTACGTGACCTGTTAGAGCATACATTAAAAAAAATATATTTTTTTTAGGCCTGGACCCACCCCTACAAAAAAAAATCTACCTACGCTCATGCATATAATAAATACTCGAAACACCTCCAAAATGTAACAAAAATCGCAGAATACAACAAAATGTTATTAGAAATGCATTGGAAATTTCTAAAAATTTCAAAATAGGTACCTAAAAAAAAACCGGAAGATAATTTTTGAAAGATTTTAAAGTAGGTTCAAGAAATTTTAATGGACTGTGAAGCATTTTGATGTTTGGTGTTACGTCCTGAAATTTTTTTTATGTATTCCAAGGCTGTTTTGAATTATTTTGTTTTATTTTGAAGAGGTTTCATACATCATAAAGCAATTTGAAGTATTTGCTTTTTTTCTGTAAGTAAAATAAAATTATATTTCAAATATACATGCAATTTTCTGAGATATATCAAAGATATTTAATTGTTTCAGAACACCCTGTATCGCCAAGAGTGAGCCTTCGGAGATAAGAAAGTTTACAGAGTAAAGTACACCTATTTTTTAAATAAAAAATCCACCTTCGTAATTTCATATGCAGGGTGTCCCGAAATTCATGCAAAAAAAATTTGGTCACAGATTCTTAAGACACATTTTACTTATTTTTTAATTTTGCCAAGTGGCCCCCTCTTTCGGAGTTACAGCCTCCTAAGAATAATCTTTTTTTATATCTCAGGACCATGTTGTACGAGAATCACTAAATTCACCCCTGTGTACCAAATTTAGTGATTCTCGTACAACATGGTTTTGAGATATAAAAAAGACTTCTTAGGGGCATATTTAAAGGGGCTGTAACTCCGGCTAGTAGACAAAAAGAAAAAAATACGGGTCCCCTAAATTTGTCTTAAGAATCTATGACCAAATTTTGTTGCATGAATTTCGGGACACCCTGTATAGGTGAAAACATGCTGTATCCTGGAGTAGAAATTTTTGTATTTCAATAAATAACACAAATTACACATTCAACAATCTTTTGTATTTCGACACGTTAAAACAATAGACGCTTGCAACACAGCTTGAAAATGCCGAGAAAATTAAAAGTCGCCGGAGAATACTGAATATTAATATAAAATATAAATAATTAATGTGAATGTTGTAATAAAAGTATCTCGTAACATAATAATAATTACGCTCGTAAATATTAAAATAAAACACTTAAACATGATGTATATTAAAATAGATGTTTTTATCGTGTACTAATTCGAAATATTATGCTCTACGTGGGTGTATAATGTTTATTGAGGCTTTATCTTGTCTACTATCAGAGCTTCAACTTCTCGCGGATAAACAATAACGAGGCTTTGTTCCCCATTTTTTTTTATATTTTTTCAAAATATTTGCATTATACATGACCCAGTTAGTTACCCAGAATGCCATAATTTTTCAAGAAAAATTCATTTACATGAAAATCCAGGCCGCCGCAAAGTGTGGAAATGTCCTACAAATTCTACGCACTCGGCTATTTTAACCGTACAGTGGTAATTTCTTTTTATTCTTCTTCAAATATGCTTAATTTTATTACTCTGGCGCGATAATTCAATATATCTATATAGAAATTTTTTAAATCGAGTATTCGGTATTTAAAAATAAAAAATTAAAAAAATTATTCCGTATTTGAGCTTGATTAAACAACAAAAATAATCTTGTAGTTTAATAATACTTTTTTTTCGACCTTAAACTTGAACCCAAAAAAACAACCTCAAATTCTTCGAACCTAACCTCAAAGTAATGCACTGACTCTTTTCTAAATCTATGGGTATAATTACTTGAAAACTATTTTTGTGCTTATATTTCCTAACCTATAAGAACCTAACCTCAAACTCTTCAAAACCTAACCTCAAACCCTCAAAACCCAACTTTAGATTAAAAAACATGAGTCAGAAATTCACAGAATGTATATGTTCCACACCAAAGAATAAAAGTCCTTGAAAACTATTTTCTTAAACTTATATTTTTTAATTTTTGAAGCCCCTAACCACTATTCTTGAATATCTAACCTCAAATCCAAGAAATCTAAGCTAGAAAGTCAAAGGAAGGATATTTTCCAAACCAAAGAATGCGACTCCTTGAAAACTCTATTCTGGACCTAATATTTCGTATTTCTAAATCTCAAACCTATACTATGTCCATAAAAGACTAACCTCAAACCCTTGAAACTTATTTTCAAATTCACAAGAAAAATAAGTAGATATTTAGATGGATAAAATTTCATTTGATAAATTATAAAAATTTGAACAATTTCAGCTAAAAACAGACTCAAAATCTATATTATTTACCAAATTTATTCGAAGGGTTGTTTTTCCGTTTTTTATTTTTATTTATTTTTAATTTTTTTGGTTTTTTTTTTGTTTTTGTTTTTTCTACTTCTAATTTTTATTCAATTTTCCAAACATTTTGATTTTATTTTTAAATACCGAATTACTATATTTGGTGTTGATGTTAATGGGTTCCCAGTCGATTGAAAAAATTGCTAAATAGATTAGGGTGGCCCAAAATACCGAAAATTTTTTTTGCGTCTCTTGTGAAAATATATTAGTTTATCGTGTTTTAAGAGCCCCCCCCCAAAAAAAATCAGCTCAAAAAAAAAAATTTTTAGAGGTCGCTCAAAATTTTTAAAAATTTCCAAAATAGTAAATTTGTATTATTTTTTAAAATTTTTTTCTCGCTATTTTATCATTTTCTAGGTTAAAAAAAATTTCGATTCTGAAAATTTCAAATCGACATTTTAATTTCTAAAGGTCACATAATTATTTTAACTTGAAAAGTAATGTACCTAAAATGTTTTCGAGCAACCTCTAGAAATAAATATCAACGAACTAATATTTTTTTTTATTGAATTTAATGAACAAAAGAATAGAAATAAATCACACTTAAATTTTAAAAAATTAAATTTTGCCTCGAGAAATTTTTTAAGTGTCTCGTGATTTATTTCTATTCTTTTCATCAAATTCAATAAAAAAAATTATTAGTTCGTTGATATTTATTTTTAGAGGTCACTCGAAAACATTAGGTACACTACTTTGAGAAAGTTAAAATAATTATGAGTGACCTTTGGAACTTAAAATATCAATTTGATTTTTTTTTCATTTTTTCATTTCATTTTTCATTTTTTTTTTCATTTATTTCATTTGATTTTTTTCAAAAACAGAAGAAAAATTTAAAAAAATTCAATTTATGACGATTTTGGAAATTTTTTAAAATCTTGAGCGACCTCAAAAAAAACTTTTTTTTGAGTTGATTTTTTGAGGGGACTCTTAAAACATGATTAACATATTTTCACAATACACGAAAAAAAAATTGTTTATTTTGGGCCACCCTAATATAGATCTATCAAATTATCGCACCAGGACCATAAAATTAAGCATATTTGAAGAATAAAAAAGAAATTACCACTGCACAGTTACTGCCACCCAGTGTTGGAAGAGTTAAAAGAACAGCAAAAGTGGTCATCTGAGTGTACTGTAAGCGTATAACCTTTAAGTTATTTATTTCAGTATTTAGCAGCGATATGTTGTGTTTGTGTGCCCTCATTGTTAAATTTCCACGTGACATTATCAAAAAAAATATACATGTGCAAGAATCAAGAACGACAAGATTTAACAACAATCAAAGATCTTATTTTTACCCCTCAACAAAATGATGATAAAAATATTTTGTTTTCGATAAAAAAGTACAAACGTCGAAAAAATATGACACAGGCATAAGACTCACCTTCTCCTCGTCCAGCTCCCCGTAGAGATGGGGCACCCAGCCCTGAATGAATTTGTACAACTCGTCCACCCGGTTCTTGGGCACGCTAAACCAATACTCGGGCCTCATCTTCTTCTTGCCGTACGACATCAGGGGCGTGGACTTTGGAATGGGCTTGTTGAGGGGCTTGCCCATCCTCAGGCGGAGGTACAACGGGGGATCCTCGCAGGACCTCGCCGGCCTCGGGATCAGCTCTAGAACGCAAAGTTAACGCGTGAACGAGAGCCCCCTCTGTTATTAATATCAAGAAGAAGAAGAAGAATAGTAATTCTGTTTAAATTTTGGGAACCGTTACTGAGAAAATTGGAGGACATCGTACTTAGAACCTCGCTTGTTTCTTAATTTCTGTTTCATGAAGGCATTTGTCAATCTTGGAGGCCAAACGGCAAGTGAGGTTAGAAAAATTTAAATTATGAATTCACTGTAGTGTCAAGGTGTGGAGTGTTGGGTGTAGGCAAATACAGGGTGTAACTTTGAGTGGGGGTCATATTTATACAGAGGCTTCCTTTGATCTTTAAGAACACGTATCAATAGTTTATTTTTTCAAATTCTGTTGCAAAAACTCCTGTCTGTTTATGGCTTCCAGCGATGAAAAACATTCAAATTCACAGTTAAATGTACTGTCCCCAAGTGCGGAACAACTTACGCCCTTCGCTTCGTCGCCGTTGACTCGCACTATCTCCCTTCAGTTGCACTGTAGGTTGCCTACAATTCACGTATGAATATTGTAGTGGCGGTGTACATAAGTATTAAAGTGCATTTTAAGAATTTCAGGTTCGTATTTAGGGGAATAAGTAGTATTACCCCTAAAAAGCTTACCCCCACTTAAAGTTACAGCCTGTATATGGGGTGTTCATGCAATTGCGGAGCATGCAGAACCTACCAAAAGAATCTAGCCCATAATTGGGAGAACGAACTGCAGCGATAAAAAAAGAAAGACAAAACGCATGAGACACTAGTAGCTAGCTCTAGCTATTTAGTTATGAATGATATGCGACAAGCACGACTGAAAAATGTACAGGAGTAACCTCCATTGAGTAAAAGTTTTGTACATAATTTCCGTTGGAATATTTTAAATAGTTTATTCCATCCGTCATATTATACTTGTTCACATTGTCAAATTCTAACGGACGTGATATGTATAACAGAAAATATACTCTTTTCCAAAATTGCGTGCATCCTGTGCAATTTTCAATAATGCTGGAACAATTTTTAATAGTACAATGACATGGTGTTCGCATTATAAGAGATCTGTTACGGTTTTTTTTAACAAATTGTGAAATAACATCTTAAAAAATTATCTCTTCAATAGATTTAAAGCTTCTGCCTAAGGACTGAAGTAATTTTGTATATATTTTTAAAAATAATATTGAAAATATGTCCAGATTATTTTAAAAAACGAAAAATGGAAACAACTATGTCCAGTGCTGGAAATACTAACAGATCCCTTAATAACGATTAAATGAAATGATAACACATGAGCGTTCCTGAAAAAGTTTAAAATTAAGACAACTTAGACAGTTTTATAGATATATTTTCTTAAACAAATAAAAGTGTGTTTTTTAAGTCGAAATTGTAGAAAACCGTATATTTTTTTTAGGTTACCGAATTTCTAGTTCAAACACAAAATTTCAAGTCCAAATTTAAAATTTCGAGTTTTAACACAAACCTTTAAATTCGAAATTTCAAAATTACTCATGATGTCAAGTTCAACTTCAAAATTTTAAATATGAATTTAAAATTCAGTTTTTGAATTTAAATAACAAAATTTCGAGTTGTAACAAAATTTCAAATTTGATCTGGTAGATTTGAATTTGAATTCTACGAAAGCATAAGAAAAGGTCATACATTTATTATATTTGCAATATAGAAATTTAAATTATATTAAAAATTTTAAATTTTCACACAAAACTTCATATTCAAAATTTCAAAATTACTCATGATGTCAAGTTCAACTTCAAAATTTTAAATATGAATTTAAAATTTAGTTTTTGAATTTAACAGCGAAATTTGTTGTTCAAATTTCAAGTTGTAACAGAATTTCAAATTTGATCTGGAAGATTTGAATTTGAATTCTATGAAAGCATAGGAAAAGGTCATGCATTTATTTTATTTACTAAATTTCTACCTCAAACACGTAATTTCAAGACCAAATTCCAAATTTCGAATTTAAACACAAAACTTCGGTCAAACGTGGAATTTAAACTCGATATTTCAAGTCAATTTTGAAATTTTAAAGTCAAATTTGAATTAATATGAAGTTTCGCATTCCTCAATGAAATTTCAATAGCCAAATTTTGAGTGAATTTGAAAGTTAATTTTTAAATTTCACTGAAACTCAAAATTTCAGGCTTAAACTCGAAATTTCAAGTTAATACAAAATTTAAAATTTGAAATGAATATCAAAATTAAAATTTGCAATGTAGAAATTCAAGTTACATTAAAAATTTTTAATTTTCACACGAAACTTCAAATTGGAAATTGAAACATTTTAAATTCAACTTTGAATTTAAAATTTAGTGTTTGAATTCAAAATTAGGAACACAAAATTTCAAGTTTCAAATGTATCACATAAAATTTCAAATTTTAAATTTAAATTTGAAATTTCAAGGTCAATACCAATCAATGTATAATTTGTCAAATACATGGACTTTTTAAGCTTTCAAAGAACTCAAATCTTCGAATTTAAGCTTCATATTTCGAGCCAGAATTATAAATTTTGTGTCGAAAACTGAAGTTTCAACCCAAATTTTGAGTTTCAATAAAAATGAACTGGAAATTAAAAATTTGGTAAATAAAACTAAATATATGGTCTACACATGCTTTTGTAGACTTCAAACTCAGAACTTTGAATTCAAATTTCAAATTTTGGGTTCAAATTTGGAATTTTGTGTTTAAACTTGAAATTTGCCAAAATATGTGTTTTTTATTTCTCGGTTTTCATAACTTTTTCTTATTTCTTGCATATTCTTGATGCGGCTATTAATTTACAAAATGAAGAAGTTGCCTTAAGATTATCTAAAAACGAACTACCCCTACAGCCAATGGATATTTTAGGCGGTGCCAATTTTGTCAACTTGTGAAATTGATGTCGATCATGTATATTTTCAGTAAAATTTATGTGAACTGCATCTATTCGCGATGCGCTAGTTACTCTGTAGCCAAAAAAGATGTTAGTGGTGTAAGATGGTTCGAGAAGTGAATTAATACAAAAAATCCTTATTTTTCTTTATCAAGAATTGAATATCCACAGAAACTTTTCGATTATAGATTACCAATGAAATAATTTAATTAAACAAATAAAAAAAACATCGACTTACTGTCAAACGAGACGAACAACTCCGGCATATCTTCCACCGACACCATCGACCTGTAGTCCAGTTTCGGGGGTGGCGCTTTGGACTTGGAGCTCCCATCTGTTGGCTGTCTTATGAAAGTCCCAACGGAGGAACGTCTGAAAAAAGAATCGAGTGTACATTCCCGAGAAACGACAATAGATGGCGCCTAAGGCGACTTGTAGTGTTAACGAAATTATAAGACAATGCGGCTAACAAACAATCCTGGCGTGCTGGCTAGATAAGCGGGAGAATTAGTGTTTTGTTTCAATCTGTGTGTGTGTTTGTTGTGTACGACAGTGTCGAGGTTGTAAATGAGGGAAAAATCATGCAAAATTGCAGTTTTTTTAAAAAGTAGGAGACAGTTTTGTAAGATTTTTTAATGATTAACAAATAAAAAAAGTTGTGGTTAAATTTCTTGTCAAAGTTTTGGTATTTCTGTGTCAAACAGGAAAAAAATCATGCGACTGAAAAAAATATTACTGAAAAATAAATAATTTTGAGGTTATGTATTTTTACGAGTACAATCACCCTCGAAAATCTTTTGTCCAGTTTCTGAACACCGTCGTCCGTCATTTACAACCTCTATTCCTCTACACCACGTGCAAAGCAACGACACACACATACCCTACGGCCCCCACCGACGCCCCCACTTGGGCGCCCATGGCGCCGACCGTCGCCCCCATGGCCCCAACCGAGGCCCCCACCTGGGCCCCCATCGCCCCCACTTGGGCGCCGACCTGGGCCCCCATTGCCCCCACCGAGCTGATGATGTTGGTGGGGAAGAAGCTGCTGCCAGTGGAGGTGCCGGAACCGTTGGTACGTGGCGAGTCGGTGAGGGGAGGACCCCCGCTGCCGCTGGAATGGGGCCCTCCCGAGGAGCCGCTGTCTTCCGAGGGAGTCTTGTGGAACAGCCCGGTGCCGAAGTCGACCAGGTGAATGGGCGAGCTGGGCAGGCGTTAGTAGAGAGGTAGTTAATGGCTCGGGCTGAGGGTTAGGCTTTGGTACCGATAGAGGTGTAACTTATTGGCGGTTTGTGATGTGGGAGGTTTGTCGTTTTTTGATAGAGAACAGAATCGAAGGGTAATAGTTCCGTTAAATCAGAGTTTTTTAAACGCTTTTGGTGGGATGAGAAGTTATTTAATTTTATTCTTCTCAATGTTCCGGTATTAGCAAAAATTCAGAAGTCAAAAGTATACAGACCAAATCTGAAAGGAGCACATATATTTTGAACATTCTGTAGAATATGTAAGTTTTTCTGTGAAAAAAATTTGGAACAGGAAAGACAAATTTAAATCAAATTTGGATGATTTTTTAACAGAAAAATTGCCGAGAACCTTCAACTTAACTGTGATATTTTGGTTTTGATATTGGTCAAAAAAAAAAAAATTCTGTCGATACGAAATTTCAAATTTGGAAGTTAAAATTTCAAGGTCAAAATTTCGGGTATGAATTTGAAATTGAATGTTTGAATTTGATAAAAGTTCAAGTTCAAACTCAAAATTTTTTAGTTGTGGCATGAAAATTCAAATTGAACTGGAAATTTCAGATTCAACCTCGAAATTTTACATTTAAATTTGAAATTTCAAAAGTTAATTTGGAACAGGAATTATATATATAGGATTAAAATTTGAAACATCCAATTTTGAGCTAAAATTCAAATTTTCGAGTTTCAAATTGAAATTTCAAGCTTAGATTCGAACATACAAATTCAGTCTTTAAAAACATAAGGAAGCGGAATTTTCTTTATTATTATAAGATTTCAAATTCGACTCGAAAATTCAAAAATTTCAATTTCGGTCACAAAATTTTAAATTAAAATTTGAAATTTCTAGTCAATACGAAATTTAAAATTCAATATTAAAATTTCAAGATCCAAATTTTGAGTTAGAATTTGGAATTAGTGTAAGTTTGAAACACGAAATTTCGAAGTCTACCTCACTAATTGCAATACAAATTTTAAATTTCAAGATTTAAAAGTCGAAATGAGTTTCAAGTTCGATATATACATAGAGTTTGAATTTGTTCGGGTTTATATTAAAAATTTCAAGTTTTAACATGAAATTTCAAATTAGAACTTGAAATTTAAATCTTAAAATCGAAATTTCTAGTTCAACCTCGAAATTTTAAATTCAAATTTGATATTTTAAAAATCAATTTGTAATTGAAATTTCAAATTTAGCATTTGAATTTCAAACAACCAATTTTGAAATCGAATTCAAAATTTCAAGTTTCCAACTGAAATCTCAAGCTTAAATTTGAAAATACAAATTCAGTCTTTAAAGACATAAGGAAGTAGAATTTTCTGTATTAAAAGATTTCAAATTTGATTTGAAAATTAAAAAATCGTTCATAAAATTTTAAATTCAAATTTGAAATTTCCAGTCGATATGAAATTTAAAATTCAAAATCAAAATTTTGGTCAGAATTTGGAATTAGTGTTTAAGTTTGAAACTTGAAATTTCGAAGTCTACCTCACTAATTGCAATTCAAATTTTAAATTTCAAGCTTTAAAATTCGAAATGAAAGTTTCAAGCTCGAAATATATTATGTAGTTCAAATTTATGAAATTTCGAGTAAAATTTCGAGTTTTGACATCAAATTTCAAATTAGAACTTGAAATTTAAAGCTTAATATTGAAATTTCTAGTTCAACCTCGAAAATTTTAAATTCAAATTTCAAGTTAATTTGAAACTGGAATTTAAAATTTAGCATTTGAATTTGAGCTCGCATTCAAAATTTCGAGTTTCAAATTGAAATCTTAAGCTCAAATTCGAAAATACAAATTCACTCTTTGAAAACATAAGGAAGCGGTGTCAAAAATACTAAAATAATCTCTTCATAACCATTAAATGAAATGGTGTTTTTTCAAACAAATAAAAAATAGTTTTTTTTTTAATTGAAATTGTCTACGAAAATGTAGAAAAGCCGTAACTTTTTTTTTGGTCCACCAATTTCTTCAAAATTTTCTGTATTATAAGATTTCAAATTCAATTTGAAAATTCAAAAATTTTAGGTTCGATTACAAAATTTAACATTTAAATTTTGAGTTTGAATTTGAAATTAGTGTTTGAAACCCAAAATTTCGAAGTCTACTTCAAAAATTGTAATTCAAATTTGAAAATTCAAGATTTAAAATTGAAATGTCAATTTATGATATTTCGAGTTATTAAAAAATTTGAGTTAACATGAAATTTCAAATTAGAACTTGAAATTTAAAGCTAAATCGAAATTTTTAGTTCAATCTGGCAATGTTATTTCAAATTTAAAAAATTTCAAGCAGCAATATGAAATTTAAAAATTAGCATTTAAGTTTGAAACGACTTGGTTTTTAGGTAAAAAAAAACAAATATTATTTTTAAAAGTTAAAATTTAAGTCATTAATTTTAACTTCAAAGTGTAAGAACCCACAAACTACAGAACAGAAAGCAAACTACAAATAATACTGGATGTTCTATGAGAAAGTGCACAAGATTATAAGGGAATATTCCTCAGGTAAAAAATACTAATCTGGTTTTGGAAAATATTTTTATATAAAAAGTATTTATTATTTTTAAAGCACTGTGTTTAGTTTGTGAATGTCAGTCTAGATAACAATCCACCTGATGTAATATGGCAGTGCGTTAGGCGAGCGAAAAAAACAGCTGTTTTTTACGGTCATACAGGAACAGGGTATGAAAAACAAAATCCAGTTTTAACGAAGAAATTTGAAAAAATCTTCTTTCTAGAGGTCAAAGGTAACCTCCATATAAATACCGCCTTCTTTCAAAGGTAGATCCTTTTAGTTTATTTTTAAAGTTTTTTTAGTTTATTTTTAAAGTTTGTACAGTTTCTCATAGAACATCCTGTATAGAAACAATTTTATAACTATGCATATTATATAACGTCTCTTAACATCCAAATCAAAGTTAAATTGGAAACGACCCAAAAAATTAAAACGATTCCACAAACTCACACGTTCTACTCTACCAAACATACACCTTTACCACCTTGCCACGCAACCCGGAAAACTCCACCTAATCCTAATACTCCGTCCCCAACTTGAAACACCGCTAAATCGGTATCGAAAACTCCTCCTTCTTTTCGACACCTTCTCCTCCCTGCGACAAAGACATTCCCTATTTCGGGCTCTATCCGACAATCTCCACGCATCACGCCCCGCTATATAACCGCTAAAAACAACTAAAAATCGTTTAGGATTACGCCACAAACGCCAATAAGTTAGTATACGGTGTTACGGATTAGGAGAACGTACAAACGGACTAGTAAATGCAAAGCTCGTGTACCAACCTCGAGAACACCTTGGAGAAAACAGACGAATGGTGAACGTCTGCCGCCGACTGAGGATGACTAGGGGGTTTATCGTCGTCTTTTTCGCCGCCGAGGGTTTCCATCCATGATAGGGGATATGACAGTCTTTTTAACATCTGAAAAACAAAAGTTGTTACACTGCGGCGGTTTGACTACGGAAAAATAGTGACGGTTCCCACAAACTTCAAAATTTGTGGGCAAGTGTCAGTTCTATACTCAATGCCTACTATCACAAAGCATTGATTTGTACCTACTGTCGTAGGTGCCTACTGGTACGAAGTATTAATTTGTACCTACTAGCACAAGTGACCTACTGATCTGTAGGTGCAATGTCAGTAGGTACAAAGTAATGCTTTGTGTTAGTAGGCACTATGTAGCAATGACATTTAAGAAAGGACATATATTTTGTAGGTTATGTCTCACAGAGCTGGGACAAAGTAGTGATTGGTGACAGTTGGCAGTAGTAGCAGTTAGCAGTAATGACATTTAACATATGACATATACTTTATAGGTTATGTCTCACAAAACGACCTACTTCAGTAGCTACAAAGTAATGTTTTCAACCAGTAGGCGTTGAATGGCAGTGACATTTAACATGTGACATGTACTTTATAGGTTATATTTCAGAAAATGACATACTTCAGTAGTTACAAAGAAAAGTTTTTAACCAGTAGGCGTTGAATAGCAGTGACATTTGAAGTATGACATGTACTTTATAGGTTATTTTTCACAAAACGACCTACCTCAGTAGGTACAAAGTAATGCTTTGAGCCAGTAGGCGTTGAATAGCTGTCACATTTAAGATGTTGATGACATATATTTTGTAGGTTATACCCACACTCGAAACATGTCTTCATTCAAACAGCTTATTCTTTCGTCGGCCATCTTTGGATGCCACAATAACATTAGATAAAAAAAATTCTACTTCTACATAAAAAAAAAATTATAATTTTTGAAAAATTTGCTGTTTATCGACAAAATTTTTTTTAAATAACATTTATCACGTAACAATCGTTCCTTACCTTATTTTTTCTAGTATCAGCCTTTTCAACATCATCCTTGGTTTCCAGGTTGCTCGTCGACAGGGGCGTGACGCCCATGTCGGCGTCCGAACTGGAATCCAAACTAAACGACACCGAGTTCGTTTTCTTCCTCGCGGGACTTTCCGACTCGTTACCCATACTCACATTTGTAGGAGCTATGGTGATCGGAGGCACCCATTCCTTCGACAGGACTATGTCCGCATCGCTATACTGCTATATCAAACGGGAACGTTTATAAGTACGGATAATTCGGGGCATACGTTAAGATCAGAACGTACCTTTTTGGTGGGGATAGGTACAACGGGGGGCAAACTAGTCTCCCTAATGTCGATCCCTGAATCGTGGCAGCTTTCCTTAGCCAAGCTGTTTTCTTCCTCGTCGATGTGCTCCTCGGCTACGGGCGGGGCCGACAGTACGGGCATTTCATCTGTATCTATGGACCTAGAACGTAACCAAGAGTTACAGTTTGTACAGGGTGGCCCAAAAAAAGTTACAAAATCAAGGCCACCTTTTTTAAATGGAAACCCCACTTTTTTGCATTTTTATTCAATTCTCCATGGAATTCTGATCATTTTTTATGTAACATAACCTATCTTTGATAAATGAAAATTGCTTCAGAAAATGCGCAACTAAAAATATAATTCGACTGGTCCGAGCGATTTTTCAAATAACGAACATCTGATTTTGAAATAAATATATTCCATACTTTTGCCGCTCACTGTATATCGTTTAACAACAGTTACATTATTACCATCAATCATTTTTGCAACTATTAAAAGGGTAATTATATTACAAAATGCCGTTTTAAATAATTTTCTTTATATTGTAGTGCATATTATAAACTGTTTTGAGGTTAGGTGGGGGAGACAATATTGAGTTAATGGAGTAGTAGAGTAGGTCCGATTATTGTGTGATAAAAAAGCAATGCACCTTTCCTTGTACATTTTATGTGAGGGGAAATAGTAAAAAACAGACCTAATGTTTATCTTTTTATTACAAGCTTTTATTTTACTTCTCTTGTTAGTATGGGTCAAATTTTGCAACTGAATTTTAAAAGTTATCCCCAATCGTCTGAGCTGAAATTTTACATACACATTTAGTTTGGATGACAATGCATGGTTAGCTAAGTGATGTCATTCTAAATCCAATATGGCGGACCAATTATTTTGTATGCACCCCCATGATGTAGGTATCAAATGAAAGGGTTTGCTGAGAAGAATACGAAAATAAAATGATGTCACTTAAAGCTTGTTTAAAATTTTTTTTTTATACATGAACTTATTGGTTTTCAAAAATTGAAGATTTATACAAATTTTGATGGTTTCCCTTCAACAGCAAATAAAATTGAAATGTTTTTTTCTTAATAATATGTATTTTTTTAATATTCGATGTGAAGGAATTAGTTCACTTAAATCGGAAATATTTTTATTATTTTAATTTGAAATTTTATTTTACGTGTGACATCGCTAAGCCAAAAATTATGAAAATCATTGCATTGCACCAATTTTTTAAGGGAGATTCTATAAATCCAATGATTCCACGTCCTCCAATAGAGGTCGCCCTAGTCTCTTCGATAATTGGGAAATTGGTTGATAGTTCAAGTTAGGAGACAATTGGATTTTCCAATCAACATAGTTACATGCATTATTTTTTTGTGCAAATAGGTATCTATTTGATCTTAAACAGGTTCTGACTATTGACCTTGTTTATATCTGTCAGTTTAGTGGAATACTGGAACAGTTAGTAATAAAAATTGTGCCACAGGAATAGACTAAAATATACTAAAATTATGGTTTTATAATTTAGACAGTAACGGTTACTTTTAACCACCAAAAAAAATCGAAACAAACACTTACTGCCTGTCCCTAGACGGTATCGCCCAATGGTGGTCCAATAATGATTTTCTCCTCTCCTCTAACGCCCTCTGTTGGACCTCGGCGTCTTCGAGGTTGGTCGGGGTGACGAGATCTCTATCGAAGGCTTTGGGGAAGGCATCGCCCTCCCTCTCTGTACACGAACAGACGGACTCCGCGTCATCTCCGGTAACTACACAGAAAATATCGATACGGTTAGCTACCATGGCATTCAACGTCGAAAGGGAAACATTTTTGTGCCCCTCAGGAATTAAATTTCCTTTTAATACTCTAATAAAAGGAAATGCTACTCAAATGGTTGTCAACGTACTTTGACAGCTGTTAGAGGGTATTATCACGCGATATTTAGATTTAATGTTTCCGACATACGTCAAAGCAGTATATAAAATAATTGAAATAAATTTTGGCCAATCCTGGCCCCGGAGCGCAGAAAATAGTGTATACAGGATGATTTTAAAATTAATCTAAGGTTAAAAATAATATTTAACTAAACTTGTCTCTATTTAGTTATTGCTTTTAGCCGCTAGAGGAAGTCACAGTTAAAATGATATTTGACATGCTAGTACATTCTTCTATTCGCGATAATTTTTAAGATGCAAGCACACCAAGCGGCGAAAGCAGTAAGCTCCGAAACAAGGTAATTTTGACATTGCCGTTCGCGTTTACACATTTATTTGAACAACATTTGTCTTATTTGCCATTATTATTAGTAATTTTGTTATCAGACTGCGGTTATTTCACTTGTGTGTTATTTTATAGGTTTCAAATATTTCATAAATAAATTTTAAGGCAAGTATTTATGTCTACTTTATTTGTCTCTAGCATTACAATGTAATGTACATTTTATTAAGTTATAACTATGAACTTATCCGTTGTGGAATACATTTCCTATTTACATATATGATAACGAAAACTTTTGTTGTATATTAGAAGGAGAGGCAGTTTTTAAGGCTGATCATGTGGTACTATATGGGAAAATTGAGCAAAGTTAATTTAAATTTAGAAATGTATATTATGTCTGCAGACTAGTGCCCTTACTTACTAACAACCCTCATGAAATTCAGGGAGTATTATCTACCGGCAATAATATTTTGAAAATTTCTTCAATGGTTTGATGAAAACTTAATTCTGGATTTTTCTTGGACCATGAAGAGCAACCTTGAACTGAACAATAATAGTTTGACAGTTTCTTCTTTCTATCCATAATTGCTGAAATTTTCCTCACACTATTTTCTTAAAATAACAGTGTTCAAAAAACGAACACTAAATACAGTTTTAAATAAAATACAAAACGAAATGTCACACACTGAAGAAATATTTACCTTGTTTCGCTAGTATCACTTGTCACCGCCAGAGGGCGAGCTCTTAGCTGCATTCGCGAATATAGGTGCCATTTTTTGATGTCGTAATTGAAATAATTGCATTTACTTTACAGAAATGAGAATATCCCCTAAAAAAATATGCTTTTTGTGGGTAGAGTTATTAAGAAAAAATAAGCCACTTTCAAATTTTTTCTTGTAATTTTTTTTATTTTTTCTAGCCATTATTTTTTTATTGCTAGTGTACCTCCTGTACACATTTAATTTTACCTTCTTCGAAAATTTAATTTACTTGATGTTAAAAACTAAATTAAGGTTTTTTAGAGTTGAGAAAATTGTATGTAATAGATATTGTTTCATGAAAATTATTGCGATTTCGATTCTCTAAATCATAACTTTATCAAATTTGAATCTGTGTGATTATTCTTATACATATAGGGAGCATTAAATTAGAAGAATTTGATGAATGATTTAAAAAATTATGTGTTACTAAAAATAGTGACAATTTGGAATAATTATTGTGAAAGGATATTCGATTACAAATTTTTGAACTCTATAAAACATTAATTTATATTTCATAAAAATATAATCAAATTTTTTATGACAGATTTGTATCGATGATAGGTAATACAAATATTTATCGTAAAATTACGCGAAAACTATTAGAAATAAGAAAATATTTATAAGAAACAAAAAAACTGAATAATCTTTACTTTTGGGACAATATAGAAGCTGAAATTGTAGATATCTGCAAAAAAATAAAAGCATATTTAGAGGTTTAGTTTAGGAAAAATATTACATTATTTTAATCAGCCAAAAATTAAAAATATATATTTTCAAAAACATGATGAAGCCATTGGTTAAATTCTGTAGAATTAATTTATATGAACTTAATTTAGATTTACATTTTCCATTTTTTTTAGGCACCTTTGCAATAAAACCATAAAAATCAGGAAATAATTTTCTTATAGACTTTTTAAGAACTTTGTTATAGAAAAAACAATTCCATATTCCATATAAAAATACCTAAGAAGCCAAACGTAAAAATAAACTTACAAAAAAATTGAAATTTTTTAAACTTAATTTTAAGTTTAGCCAATAATGCCTATGCCTTTGAAAATCTGTCGGAATAATATTCGATTTCGCGACTGTGACTGGGACTAACAAACATACAATAGAGCAGGCTGCACAGATAAGATGCTGTAGAATCGAAGTGATGGAGTAACAAAAGCATTTTTCAGCAACGCAACATCCAGTAGCAGCATCTCAAAATAAAGACCGGCGAAGATTTACATTTAAAAAAAAATCCATCCACCACAGAAACAAAATTCCCCTGAAAATGTCAGGTTTTCTGGATTGGTATGGACTCTGCCGAAAAGCACGTTGCTCTGGAATCAGAAGTATCAGACACGGAATCTGAAGAACCCTGTTTAAGTGAATTTCAAAGTATTTTTTCTTTCGAGCTCAGTTTTAATTTGGTCTTTTTATTAGTTATAGACAACTGAAATTTTATTTCTTTAGTTATATTTACTAACGAAAATTTAAGTTTTTTTATTCTTTTTGTCGTTGCAAATAAAATATTAGTCTATTATTATTATTTTCTTAAATTTTCCCGGTTTTCCTACTTCTGTAAATGCAGTTACATTATTTAGGTAACTACAAAGTTCAAAACGTGATATCTATATACAAATATGTACTGGCAAACCCAAGACCACTGAAATCGAACAAAACATAGAAAAGTTACTTGGAAAAAAAATGAAATCTTTTGCCAAGTTTAAACTGACATATTTTTAACTTTAAATTCAGGCGTATAATTTTTGCTACTTCATTTAAAAACCGCCGGCGGGGCCCAGCCAGGACAAAAGGAGGTCCCACAAAGCGCCTACACCGGCCGCATTTGCGGTCGGGGTAGACGACGGATGGGGCCCACCTACGAAGGCTGTCCAGGCCTACACGAGATGAGGCAGGATAAAGAGGGATAATCCCCCTCGATCCCAAATCATTGAGGCCAATTTCTAGCCATGGAATAATGGCATTTAAAAACATCCTGTACACCTAGAGCCTTTTTTCTCTTTTAAGAATTAAAGCCAACAGAAACTTTTTTTATATTTCCGTCAAAAACCTTACCTAGTTCAGGAAACGTCTCGTCCTTGACCATCAACGAATCCGGCTCCTTGTCCGCCTTAGGGTAGTAGATCTCGGGCTTCTCCCCCGAGCTCGACTCCACGTGCCCCACCCTCATGTGTGCTATGTCGTTGTAGATGGCAGCGTTCACCACGAACTCCATCGGCGCTATGACGCCGTACGCCTCCGGCCCGTGCTCGATCACCAGGGGATCGGACACGTTAGGATCGAACATGACGGCGTTGGGGGTGACCAGGAGCACGCCCCCCACCACCCCCTGGCCGTCGGTGATGTGGCGCACGTTGATCTTCAGGAAGCGCTCCCTGAACACGGCGGATTCTTGGTCGTCGGTCTCGGTGCTGGAGCCCTGGGTGCAGGAGGGCGTCCGGACCCTCTCCACGTGGCCGGGCTTGGGGCTGACCGGCCGCAGGTTCTCCAGGAGTTCTGAAAAAAATCGCAGGGTCGTGGAGAACATCGTTTCGTACTGGGCCAAGGCGAGCGCGCCGCCCGAAATGTGTTTATTTATAATAGCCGGCGAGGAGGCGCGACGTGTACTGCCGCCTTCCTCGGCTTAAAATGTGTTAGTTTGAGCGTTTTGGTCGTGAACGTTATTGCGGTCGAGCCGTAGATAACATTTTTATCGCGCCTTTTCCAATTCTACGTGCATTTCAGCGATAAGCTAATAAAATAGTAAAAAGTGTTGAACAAGGTCGAACATTTCGAACATATGTTCGAGGGCCCGCGTTAATATAGACTCCCTACTTCCTCTATCGTTTCCGATAGTCGCTTTGTTCCTGTCGGCAAAACATGTAAATATAGAGGGTGAGTCAGATTTAACTTGGGTCCCGAGAGTACTTTTGGAAATAACAGTTAGATGTCGTGATCCCGTGAACTAAAACCGGTGGCTTGGCGCATGACGTCACGTGGAGAGTGATTTAAGTGGTTCAAGTTTATACTAATTGTTTACATGTCATAAATAGAAATTGGTTTGAATATCACAATAATTACATATTATCATTCAGTATTATCAACACTAATCGATAATACTTGTGGAGACTTTTCAACATTTTTCTTGGATTTCGACATATTATTTGACGAAAACTTACGACTATTTTATTAATCATGGTCTCTAGCCTCGAGCTAATTACAAGTACATTATGACGTTTTAAAATGCCTCGAACAAATCTTAACATTTTTTGTGTAAAATATATATTTAAGCCCGCAAAGTTTCAGTACAGATTTTTTAAAAGTTTTCATCATTTGTAAAATGAACATGATGTCTTTACTTTTTCTATGGTACTACCAAAAACGGCATTTCTTCACTAATTGACAATAATGTTAACCCACCACAGCACTCAAAATTCTAGATCACTTTGTAATACACGACATGAAAACCAAACTAACGAGCGTTCAAATAAAAACGTGGTCAAATTGGTTCTGAAAATTTGGACGTAGGGCGTAGCGTATAGCAAATGAACTTAAACGTCATCTGTTAAAGCGCTGTATTGCCGCTTTGTTATTGAAACTGACAGCTGCTATACAGCTCGTTGAGAAATGAGGTTAAGTTGGTCGCTATAAGCTACGCCCTACGTCCAATGTGTCAGAGCCAACTTCGACCACGTTTTTATTTGAACGCTCGTTATAAAGATAGGTTAGTATGTTATTAACGACAATAAGCATGATGACAGTAAGCAAAAATCACTAAAATTATGTATTTATCTAGTGAAATATGATTCATGGATGATAAAAAACGTGTTTATTTTTATATTATGAGCGAGATTGATATTTTTTATAAAATAAAACTACAAAATACAGCAAACCGCCATGATAGGTTGAACACCAATCAAAGCGAATTACGTCATATCTATGTTAATGTCACTTTGCGTCATTTGTACTTCGATAATATGCAGTATTTACCTTCGTTTAAATATTTTGTTTCCCAACTATCAGTTGCTTAGTTTTGTGTTACTAAAACAATAATCAGGAAACGTTAGGTACCTGAAATGTTTCTAAAAGAAGGAAAGAAAACAAAGCTCAACAACTGCGAGTTAATAAAATATCAAAGAGACTATGTTTGTGATCAAAAGTCTATGCATAAATTGGTGCTGAAATACAAACAACAGTACTGCGACAAAAAACTCGTATTGACTGATGAAGATGACATGAAAAGTTGACGAGACGAGACCAATATCAAAGTTGTTTTTGGCATGAGAAAAATTGTATTTGTCACGAAAGTATGACAGTTAAAAAATAATATGAAGACTTGAAGACTTTTTTATTAAGAATTAAAAGTTCTATGGTAAAATGCAAAACATTTTTAAATGATACTTTTTTCGAATTAAATAAAGCCATTTTACTCATATTTACGCCATTGGTTGTTTAAGGGAGTTGATATTAAAGCATATTAAGGCAACCTATCGAGATACGAAGTGTAGGTACTTTTAGTGCGTTAGTTGGAAAAATATAAAAAATATTTGTTTTTTTTTAAATTTTTTTAAATTTCACCATCCTGTATAGCGAAGAAAATGCATTTTTTGAAAAATATTCGTATGAAAAACTTGCTACTTAATTGCAAAACTACTACCACGTTTTTTCCGCTACGACGTTAAAATTGACTCACCCTGTATGTTGTACATTACTATACAAGGTCAACTAACAAAACATGAAACAGAAGTAGATTAATTACATCCTCAATAATTGTATAAAACCAGCTGTACCTATTTATTAAAATGGGTTAATTTAACGATAACGTACTTTAAAGTCGAGTAAGTGTTTTTTTTACAGAGTGAATCGCATGTAGATGCCAAAAATTTAACCAAAGCTTCCACAAATCAAAATCATGATTTACTCTGTACAAAGAAAGTTTCATGTTTATAAATATTTAGAAATACAGGTACACTAAAATTTGCTATTAAATTCTAACAGCCGGTATTTTTACCATGTTTATTATTGCAAACGGCTACCATTTCCATTACTTATAGGTGCCTAGTAAAAAGATAAAGTGTGTGTAAAAATGTTGAAAGATCTATATCGTAAGCCACGTTTTCGTGACCTGCAATAAATAAAAATAAAGAAGACGCAAACGGCTCGTTCCGAGGGAATGTGTACTTATTTTCAAAATGTTTTCTAGTGACAAGAAAGGGGCATGAAGCCAATTTGGATTCCACAACGCCAGATTTACCAAAAACAGTGCTCAGACAACTAATATTTATTTATACTTTAATGGTAGTTTCTAGGTATATGGATTCAACGAGTAAAAAAAAATAGACCTCTTCGATTTTTTTGAAACTTTGGGATGTTAATATACTTTTAATTTTTCGAGACCCGTGTTTTTTTGTATTCCCAAAAAAAATGTTTCGAGCTCTATGACGCCATGTCAAAATTCACATCGTAACAGCGCTATTCCGAAACTGAAAATGCATATTTTTTTCAAGTAGCCGTCATTTTGGTCCAAATCATCCTATCGAAACGTTTTTTTTCCGAAATGTGCAGAATTTCATCAACTGAATTAGTTCTTTCAGAATTCAAATTGTTTTAAAACTTGAGATAAATGAGAAAAACGAAGTTATTATTTTCAAAATTTATTTTCTCAAAAATAGGCTATTGATTATGTCATATGGTATGAAACTACAACGTTGATGGGTTTTTATTGCATGAATCGTTCAAATGGTTATTTAGAATGAAAAAACCGCGGAGTGCTATTAAATTAGAGGGTGGAAATTGTAGATAGGGGTGAACATGCAAGTCTTACGGTTTTTTGAGTATATCTCGGAAACGAAGCAAAATTTGAGGGTATTGCATAGGAAAAATTTTTTGTGGATAATGAGATTTTCTACCGAAATAACTTATTTAAAAAAATTTAAAAATGTATTTACTGGAAAATATATTAAAAACAATTTAACAAAAAAATGCAAAAAATTCAATTCAACCGAAAAAATGGCAAAGTTTGAACGACTATAACTCTAAGTCTATTTTCATCGCAAAAACTTTTATAACCCATCAATTTGTAGGAAATTTTATATACTTTTTTTTCTATGAAGGAATGCTTATACGTATCTGCTCAGAAAAAATTATTTGCATACAAGTAAAAAAAAAACAAAAAATTGAATTTTTTGCATTTTTTTGTTAATTGTTTTCAATATATTTTGCAGTAAATAAATTTTTTAATTTTTTTAAATAAGTTATTTCGGTATTTTGCAGTAAATACAATTTTTAAATTGTTTAAATAAGCTATTTCGATAGAAAATGTCATTATCTACAAAATTTTTCCTATGCAATACCCTCAAATTTTGCTTTGTTTTCGAGATATACTCAAAAAACCGTAAGGGTTGCATTTTCACCCCATTCCGCAGTTTTCTTTCTGAATAACCATTTGAACGATTCATGTAATAAAAACCCATCAACGTTGTAGTTTCTTAGTACCCTGCTTTTTAAGACATAATCAATAGCCTAAAACCCCACCTTTTATTTTCACCAAATTTGTAAATATTCTTCAAGGTCGAATAAGCCATCTTTTAGCCAAGCAGCAATATGCCATCTTGCTTCGTTCGGGAGACACGGTTTCGAAAATGCATATTTTTTTCAAGTGTCCTAAATCATCCTATCGAAACGTTTTTTTTTTTAAATGTGCAGAATTTCATCAGATTTTACCTGTTTTTTTCAGAATTCAAATTGCTTTAAAACTTTCTGAGATAAATGAGAAAAACGGAGTTATTTATTTTCAAAAATTTTTTTCAAAAACCCCACCTTTTATTTTCACCAAATTTGGATATGTTTTTCAAGGCCAAATAAGCTATCTTTTAGCCAAGCGGCAATATACCAACTTGTTCCGTTCGGGAGATACGGTTTCCAAAAGCCATATTTTTTTGATGTGGCCGTCATTTTGACCCAAATCATCCTGTGGAAGCGCATATAGCTTATTTGGCCTTGAAAAACACATCCAAATTTGGTGGAAATATAAAGTCGAGTTTTTGAAAAAAAATTACTTTATTCTGTTTTTCTCATTTATCTCAAGAAAATTTTAATGTCATTCTGAAAAAATCAGGTAAAAGCTGATGAAATTCTGCATATTTTGAAAAAATGTCTCGTAAAATTCAAAGTAGTAAGTAGTAGCTCAAAGTTTAAAAAAAATCGAAAAGAAGTCGATATTTTTTGCTCGTTGAATCCAAATGGAAACTACCTATTATAATGTAAAGGCGTCCAACTAATTTAAATTACATTTACTACTTTTCAGAAGTCATATTTCGAAAGGTTGCAATGCCCAAATACATAAAATACAGTAATAAATAAACACGTATTCGTTTTTATCAGTCAAGAAAAATAATAAACCGCATTTTTAAACAAACTATTTCTCACAATGCAAACGACTGCATCTGGACATATCGGGTCGCTATTTGCACATTTGCCGTAGAGCGACATTCTGTGTTATTTGCTTACTCTGCTATGCACCGCATACGTAACTTATGAAAATAAAGATAATATTATCCAAGCCTAAGCGCATAAAAATGTTTCCGAGAAAGTGTCGCAAACGGTAAAACGAAAAAGTGCTAGCAAGTGTATGATAACGACGATATGCTTTTTTCGGTATAGGATAAAACGGAAAAATTTCATTGAATATTTTCCGTGCGATTGCTTGCTATAAGTTTTAAACGATCAAAAATAGCGCCAGTCACAACAACGCTTAGAAAAAAAAACATATGTATGGGTTTAGGTTAATGGTCAATTACACATACGCAACGGCTTAAATTAGGGTAACGAGAACAATATGTTTAAGTAAGATTTATTAGCTTTATATTGGTAAGGATCGACAAAAAACTGCGTAGAGTATTGCGACCGCACGCGGAAAAGCCATATACAGGATGTTCGGTAAGTAAGTCAACGTAATTCTACAACTCTTTATCTAATACATACTTATTAATAGAGATATGGATTTCAAAAGGAGATTTACGTTTTGGGTTCTAACTTTGAAAGCACCTTGTATATTTTAATGAAATTTTGGCGTAGTATATTTCACATAAGCCTCAATGGTTTGATTTAAAACCGGACATTTTCTATTACAAGATATCCAACATATATCTTTTGACAGATATGCGTTAAAAAAGTTCGCAAGGTGGTTTCAAAATTAGAATTTGAAACGTAAATCTCGATGTACACCCTTAGGGACTGATTATCTTCGATAGGGGGAACATTAGGAAAAAATGATAGGAAACTTTCGAGAGATTAGTAGAGATACACACCGAAAACCCTGCATCTGGACTAAAAAAAAATTAATACCATAAACTGATAAACATAAACAATTAAAAAAACCTTTTTTTTTTGTTTCTTACCTTTTTCTTCGGGCGGTAGATCATCGTGCGAGTCCTCTACTGGCGTGGAACCTTCCGATTCATTCTCTGCACTTTCCCTGTTGGGTACGTAGAGCTGTTGCCCCGGAAAGATATAGGGCGTCGCTAACCTGTTAAGCTTGGTCAGTTCCGAGGGTGTGGTGTCGAATCTCGCGGCCACAGAGGTCAGCGTGTCCCTGTCTGCGACCTGTAAATAAAAACGGCGCTCTTAGTCGGATTCGTTTTTAGGCTTCGCCCGATGACGATTATATGGTTATTGAAACGTGCGGCCAGTACAACATACATTAAATTTAATTACGTTTATAAACAAGTATACACGAAACAGTGTGTTGGACGTTTGACTACTAATACTTCAGCATAAGGGCGAGGAACTACACTACCAGCATCAAGGAGGCGTTGAAATACAAGGTGTTAGAAGTGTGACTGCCTTAATTTTAACAGACGATAGAATACATTAAAATAAACAAAAAACCGTAATGACATGGGTCCCAAACAACCATTTCCAACTTGAGGTACAAAAGTTCGATTAATTAAGGAATATTGACTGCGTGCATAGAATACCATAAAATAGAATGTTTATCACTTTTTTGAACTTCTTTATCTAAACACTCTAAAAAATAATTATCGTTGTAATAAATTTAAAATTCGATAAAATTCATATCGAGCAAAATGACAATAGCGCGGCGGTTTATTAACACGAGGTACCAAGGTGTCCAGCAATACGCAATTCAGTTGGTATCTGGATTCGACCGTGTCAGAGTGTTTTTTGCGTACCACTATTTCCTTTTCTTGAGATGTTTTCCAGCGAGTGCGCGAAAATTGCATTCGAAGGTGTCGTGTGTGCATCGAAAATGGTGGTGGACATTTCGAGCATATGTTGTAATTTGTTTTGTAATTGTGCGTTTAAAACTTACTGAATTTTGCTTTTTTGTAAGTACTTCAATTATTTTAAAAAACGTATGATTATTTGGATGCCGTGAATCTTTATGTACTTTAGTTACATATTTTTCAAATTCATAATTTGATTAAACGTTCTTATTGTTTTAAGAGATTCATAAATACTCGAGCTAAAATTGTCTTGAAATTTACTAAATGTTTCACAATAGCTGTTTACATTTTTTCCGTAGGACAAGTCTGCAACGTGCACAATAACAAATATCAATAATAAACATTTTGAAAAGTAAAGAGAAAAAGTGACAAGTGACAAGCACGAACGTCAAGCTGTTAAGGGCCCCATATTCTTTAAATAGTGTTTTCCGCAAAGACAAATAATTTCAAACATTTAATAACTGAATAATCTAAAGCTTATCAAATAATAGGAATGTTATGTCATGCCACCTGAGTATTTTCAAAGACGCCGGCCGCAGTAAAACGAATAAACAGGTGCAAAAAACGATCAAACCATTAAGGTTTTAGGTACTGAAATCTACGAAAATACTATCTTTTTTATATATAATTCCACATGTAAATATTCTTATAACATTTACTTGCTTAGTCCTACATATAAAATTGTTTACTT